GAGTATAATCACCTATTATAAACTCATTCATAGCAGTTAAATGAGTGTTGTTTTGTCAAACTTTGCCTCACTAAATATGGTATAATAAATTAATTATTTTATTTTCCGTGAGCACACATTAATTGAATGACAGGAAAAACAAACAAGCAATCAAATATTTTACGACCTGGTCATCTGGAAATTACTCCAATAATCATAATCTATCTGTACTCTTCAATACAGTCCTCTCTTGAATCGAAATTGCATCAATAGGCCAAGGCCTTGTTGCCATACAGTAGATACTATATATAGGGTAGTCAAAGAAGCAGGGAACAGTTTCTTGCTATTATTATGATCATTTGTTTACCTGAACTACTCTTTTACACTAGTATAATAGGGAAATTACTACAGGCTACGAACTATTCGAACATAAGATTGCTGAATCTGGCCATTAGTTGGCAATTTCCTAAATTCTGCTCTATTTAATTATGATGTAAATTATTCTCTTTTTTGTGTCATTATATGCAACATGCCCTGCATTTCATGTCCAACCATATTATCTTCCCCTCGTATAAGATCTATTCAGCTTATTTCTTTAATTTGATGAGTTACTGGTAGTTGAGATTTTCCACATTGATATGAGTAGGCCTTATGTTTCCAGTGAAGCTCATATACCAAAAGATATTCGCCTCCAGGCAGGAGTGGACCACTGTTTCGACCTCGCCTAAATCTCATCGGCACTCCCAATTGGGCTCCAACTCGGGCTATGGTATTGCAACGTATAATTTCGACGCGTTAGCCACTACACCACACTACCACAAATGTCCATGAGGGACAGGACAGATGTAAATTTAATGGAGGATGAAGTCTTTTAAATATAACTTCCTTTGCTGTGGTCGTCAGTGAAGAAAAACTGTATTTGCTACGGCAATGGATTCTATTACTTATTCTTTCTTGATAAGCAGGCTTTCGAGACTATCTGTAGATCACATAAGTATATTATCTTATAAATGATCATATATAATAGAATATATATTTTTTTATATAAAAGGATGCACATATATGTTGT